CTTGGAATATTGCATCCAGTTTTGGTTACCATGGTATAAAGACTCTAGAAAGATTGCAGAGATTACACATTTTCCAAAGGAAAAAGTCCAAATAAGCAGTAAGAATCAGCAGAAATAAGAAATTGTTAACCATAATTAGATCAGTTTTATATTTTTTTTCTTCCTGCCAAGCATTCTTAAGTCTCATAAATAAAATTCTAAGTCCTTTTTTTGTCTAATATCTCTGTCTCATCTTTTAAAATTCTTATCACCATTTGAATCCACTTGTAATTTCTACAAAGTATCTCCAGCAAATCACTTATATCTCAACCTAAAAGGGTAGTCCACATTGTTGTTGTGATACATTATCTGCACATCATTTTCCATTTTTAAATGATCGTCCAATTGTATCTGTAAATCCGACAGTTCCATCTTGTTCTTTTAAATTGTAATTTGAAAATCTACATTTAGAATCCATCTCAATTTTCTCCAGAGGTCTCTGTTCATCTTCAGTAGTAACTTTTTGGTTCCAATAAAGAACGTAAAAGTTCGACCACTTCACAAATCAAACCTTTCCTTTAAAGTAGCCATCTTGTACTCTAGTAATCAACCTTCAAAGTCTCGTTTTACAATTGATGTGTAAACAAGGCAGATTTTTTTTTTCCCCACACAAGAGGTTCTTTCTAATTAACTTCAAAGCTTCTCTTTAGGTCAATTTCAAGAACTCTTAGCATTTTTTAAAGCTTTGCAGAAACAACTCTGAAATCACCTCTTTGCTGCATATTGCAAGAAATTACAAAAGAAGAAAGAAAGAAAGAAAGAAAGAAAGAAGGAAGGAAGATCTTATAAAGCAGGAAATGTGGGATTGCCTTTCTTTTGAAACGGATTGAAGAGAATTTCCACCCAACCAGCACCCAGACTTGTGGGTCTGAAGATTTTTCAGTCTTTTATAAATATTTTATTAATTTTCTGTTCTTACAAACAAGCGCTTAATAGACAACGTGTTGAATGGGTCCATTAGTAATTCCGTGGCACATATAAGCTTCTTCAAACTAAGTCCAATATTACACCATCCGATACCTCTCTCTCTTCTTCCGGTGATAAGCATTTTTCCACATTAAGCAAATTCAATTCTTACTGTTATTAAATGAGTAATAAGAAAAGTAAAAAATTTCAAAGTGATTCAAAAGAAGAGGTTTGATCCAATCTTAAATCCTGAAAGGATGCAGTTACAGCTCGGAGTGTAATAGAATCCACCACTCCCAGCTGGAAAAAAGATGATTCCTGCAGGATCCAATCTGAGTCGGTTATTGGGACCACAGCATTTAATCTTCAAAGCTTTTGGACTTGTACTGGAACCCAGTTCTGAGGGAACTTCTCTCTACCCGAATGTGTGTTTTGGGCTATTCTGTGTGTGTGGTATTTACATGGTGCCTGTTGTATGTGGCTTTTTAGGTGTTGGTGGCTGGCTATTAAGTTGTTGGCTGTTGTTTCCTTGTGCTGCAATCAGGGGAGCAGTCAGGCAAGGAGACCTGAACTCATTGGTATCTTCATACTGCAGTGAACAAGGCATACATTCATTTTTGCAGCTACTAAGATTGTTGGACGAGCAGGCACAAAAACAGCAAGGGAAGTGATTGAAGCCTGGGAAACAGGCCTCTTGTCAGTCAACAGGAGTGCTAATTTACCAAAAGCACTCTGTGGCAGGAAAAGTTATACAATGAGGCAAAGCTCGTTTAACAAATGTTCCACTTAGCAACAGAAATGTTGGGGTCAGTTGCGGGCGTAAGTTGAGGGCTCCTTGTATTTTGCTTCAATTTTCTGAGTAAAATAAAAATCTATTCAAAAAATAAAAAGGGGGCTCCTTTCCAAGCTCCTTTAATTTCAGTTTTGCCTCTGATTAACTGCTTTTCAATAATAATAATAATAATAATAATAATAATAATAATAATAATAATAATAATAATAATAATAATAATAATAATAATAATATAATGTTAGAAGGGATCTCAGAGGTCATCTAGTCCAACCCCCTGCTCAGGCAGGAATCCCTATACCATTTCAGACAAATGGCTGTCCAGTCTCTTCTTAAAGACTTCCAGTGTTGGAGCATTCACCGCTTCTGGAGGTAGGTTGTTCCACTGATTAATTGTTCTCACTGTCAGGAAGTTTCTCCTTAGTTCTAGGTTGCTTCTCTCCTTGGTTAGTTTCCATCCGTTGTCTACTGGATGCTGTATTCCAAGTGTGGCCTTACCAAGGCATTGTAAAGTGGTATTAACACTTCACGTGATCTTGATTCTATCCCTCTG